AGGAAGTGAAAGAGCAGCACCAAAGAAACTTGGCTCGGTTGGCAGAGCTCAATGTTCCTGTGGGGAGGGTGGAGGAAGTGGACAGTAATGCTGAAGAGCCTGAATCCCAGGCAGAACAGATTGAATCGATTGCGGCCTGAGTTTTGAATCATCATATGCAGCCCTAGCCTAGTTTATATATTTATATGTGTACTTGCTGTGTTGCTGAATTTATTTATTTACAGCTATTTGCGGAACATAAGGCGCGGATCAGATTTTTTTCAAAAAGGGTTGTTTTCACTGCTACCCCGATATCTTGCTCAATTCTTCACCTGGAGCCCTGGAACCATTTTCAATCGATCTCTGGGGGTATTTTACAGTGCTTAGGCCGGTTCTCAACTTTCTCTTTCCCGCTGGTGGATTTGTAAGCAAATGGCATGGACTTCCCACTGCTGACCCTGCTTAAAGAGGAATTCATGTGAGGATGCCCTAGCCTTTTGCCTGTGGGTGTATAAGTGTCCCATACAGTGAATAGTGTAGCCTTTCGGACAATATACCTTCCTGCTATGGCACAGGTACCACGATCAAATGAATGGATGTGTTGATGTGCTTGTTGACGTGTTTCTCGTGGTAGAATTACAACCTGAAGTACCTGGCGCACTTATAAACACATATATAAACATAGAGACAAATATTCAGCACCCCCCAATAGATCCTTCCTTTGAAGCAGGGGTAGCAAGGTAAATTTTGATCATCTGGCTTACTCAGCCATCACTGAATAAGACAACTAATTTGAGCAGACAGCGCACTCTGGAACATTCATTGAAGATGTCTAGTGAAGGATTCACGGCATTTGAGGCAGAATTGAATGCATTAGAGGGGTAGCAATGAAAATGATCAAAGTGGCCATTTTTAGAAAAAAAAATGATCCGCGCCTTATGTTCCGCAAATAGCTGTAATGAAATGACAAGTTGAGATTTGAGAAGTCCACCCTAGTCTAGTCTTATTCGCGCCTGTCATACCGTAGGTGGGGCTTCGTGAATTTGATGGCTTGGCATTAGCACGGGAATGGCAAACACAACCATTTTTTAAGACCACGTCTCGACAACATCGCGTATATTTATATGTGTACTTGCTGTGTTGCTGAATTTATTTATTTAATGAAATGACAAGTTGAGATTTGAGAAGTCCACCCTAGTCTAGTCTTACTCGCGCCTGTCATACCGTAGGTGGGGCTTCGTGAATTTGATGGCTTGGCATTAGCACGGGAATGGCAAACACAACCATTTTTTAAGACCACGTCTCGACAACATCGCGCATCTTGATGTATATGTGCGCCACAGGCTTCGATTTGCCACGTCACACAACTCTTGCCTTTTACTTTTACTTCCCGAAGGCTTTGATTGGGCCCGTAAAGTCTTACTTGATGTTCCCTTCCCAATTTCGAGCCGCACCACTATCAAATCGATGGAATTTGCACAAGTTCTTTCGGTAATTGACCTCGTAGCATCTACCCTAGCCAGCTCTGGCAAAACTGGCTTCCTCTTTCTCTCGATATTGGTCATGTGACTCATGTAGCTATCGCAAAAAGTCCGGGACTCTGCCAGAGCATAAAATTCCCGTTGAACCCCGTCATCGTGGGGTAAATTAAATAGGAGTTGAGTAGAAATGGGTCGGCTGGAGTATTGCACCATAACGAGATCCAAGTTCAAGGGATGGATGTTGTGATGGGGGAGTACCGGCATGCGGTTTGTAGGGGATGAGAGGGATTTCGGTGAGGAGTAGGTGTTTCTGGGACATCCCAGTTGATATTCCAAGACGTCTGGGCCATGAGGGGGTTTATAACACGCGGGGTGGACACGGCGCGCCGGAGTGCCTTGACGCGCCGTGATGGAGCTGTCAAAAGGATCGTGGGAACGTCCGCTTTGGGTTGGCCGAATCCGGAAGGCTCACCTACGGCTTTCATAGCACAAGTAAAATCAGACCATATATCAGGTTTTCTTTTTCAGAAAAACTACTCTGATGATTTGGGCTGACTAGGGAGACTAAGTCCACCCGTTGATAAGCCATGAAAATGAACACTGGTGAAAATCAACTTCTTCACAACTTCCAGTTTCAAACACACACGTCGAGCTGCTAGCAGCAAGTTCTGGCTGTGTAATGTTCTGGCACTTAAGTTTAATGTTGCCGCGACTCGCGACTCCGGGGCTCCGAGTCGAGTCGAGTCACTAATGTGACTTTGTGCGACTCACAAGTCAAACAAAGTCAACTTGCCCCGACTTCGAGTGACTCGGAGTCGACATCAAAATATAATCAGCTAGGTTTCATCTGATACTCACTGGTTGAACATTTCAAGTTTTTCGGTGAAGAAACTTGAAAAAAATGTTCCCAAGTTCCCACTCCTCTTTCCAGCAAAACTCCAGTGAGAAACCTGTAACTTTCTGGTGAGTTTTTCGAATCTTCTGGAAATCTCTTGAAACCTTGATGAATCTTTTATGGAGTTCAAAAAATCCACAAGAAAGTTTCAAGATTTTCACCTGATTCTTGCTGAGAAAATTGCTGTAACCTCCAAAAAAAAAAAATGACCAATTGTTTCACCAAAAAACTCGAAATGCTCAAGCAGTGACTGCTCAGAAAAGTCGAGAGAACTCGGATAATGCCCAGAATTCACATTGAACATTCATTTCTCTTGCAACTGGTATGAATCGGCTTTGCTAACAATCAAGGTACCTCAAAAATGGTTGAGCGGGTATGGGAAAAGGTATAAATTATTGTAAAACTCACCGCCTGAAGTGCAACACCTTTAACTTGACAAAATGCGGTGTTGAAGCCAAAAGATCAAATGTTTATGTCCCATCACTTTTATTGTGACCCGCCGGTAATGGTAAACAAACCTCAGAAATAGCTGAGAAGGCTTTAGGGGAGCTACCTAGGTGGCCCACAGCAATGTGCAACAGGCATTGAACCTTCTGCAGAAATGTTAATAAAATTCCGACTTCACCGACTCGAGTCGACTTGAGTCGACTTGGAGTGACTCTTTGACTGGAAGTCAAGTCAAGTCGAGTCCACCGGCTTTCAGAACGACTATGCCTTCGGCCATTTGTTAAGCGGCAGTTTGACGGGGTTCGATTCCCCGCTTCCGTATGGATCGGGACCGAAAACAGTGTTTTTCTCTGGAACCAAACAAATGGTGTTTAATTCCCCCAGCCTCTGCATGACCATCTTAAACCTGTCCTGGTTCCTCCAGAGAATATTGCCCGATGCAGATCCCAACGTGGAAAAGAGAAACGGTCATCCACGCGGGCAACATTTTGTTAAACAACTGCAAAGGAATAAATAAAAAAACGTAACTTCAGAGGTGGGACTGAGTTGAAAAAATTTGAGCACTTACTGCACGAGGAGGTGGATCAAGAAAGCGGATGTGGTGCGTGGTGCACGATTGCCCTCCGTTCTTGACCACGCAGCAGCTTTGAAGCGATTGAATGCGGTTCGACTCCCCGCATCCGCATGGACTGTTGATGTCAGCTTTTTTCCCCGCCCGGGTCCTGTCTCCTTGGTTGAATATAGCCTCCCGTTTAGAATTAGACATCACCGGTGCATCACCGTTCATGTGAATTGTGATGATAAATACCCAATGTTTGCGTGAAACCAACTCACAATATTGGGTAAATGCTGCACAGACGAAGTGGATGTGGAAAGCAGATGTTGCGCACGGTGCACGACTGCCCACAATAATGTGTTCCAATCATGATCGATGCAAAGCAGTTGGTTGGGGTTCGATTCCCCACATCCGCATGGCCAGTGTCCCTCGTTATTTTGTACGGTGACAGCTAACCGTGACAGTGTTGAGCGCGGTTCAAAATGTACCAGTTAGAATTTCTTACACTGCCAACCGATATGGAAACCCTGCACTTCAGTTCGACTTTCAATTCGGGGAATGTGTGTTACGCGCATCCGTCAAAAGCTGTAAATAAGTTGGGGTACCATGAGAGGCAGGAACACGGACGTGGTACACAGTACACGATTGCTCTCATTAATTCAGCTGGTGGCAAGCATTTGAAGCAGTTTGACGGGGTTCGACTCCCCGCGTCCGTATACGAGTATGGCGGCCGTTTTGGCAGCCTTTTTTTTTGTACCTCTCCTGGCCCCTCGGAAAGTGTACAGTAGTCTCTTACAACACAGCAAACGGCATCCATTTTGTTGAACAAATTCAAGGGAATCAAATCAGAAATAGTAATCAAAGGTGTATGTGAGTTGAAAATAAAGTTGAGCACTTAGTCTTTAGTGACCCTCCTTCTCGGGAGAATATAGTCTCTTGCAGATCCAAACGCGGAAAAGGTAAATTATGCATCAATTTTGTTGAACCAACTCAAAAGGAATCAAGATCAAATCCAAAAGAAACAGAAGTGCGGGTGAGTACTGTTGGAAAAAATGTACAATCCTTACTGCACTAGTCTAGTTTTAGTTGCGCTGTGTTAGCCGTAGGTCGCGATTCGGCGATATCAGATGTCACGTGTCAGCCAAATGTGTGCCATCATACGAGTTTTTTGGGGCTGGGTGCAACAAAGGTGAAAAAAAAAAGATGATGGGTAAAGTAGCGGGGCTGCAAGGTATGGCTGTCCTTTCAATTGGTACTTCGTGAGGGACACGAGGGAACTGGGTGCGAAGCGCCGTGTGAAAACTGATGGAAGGCGGTAGAATGGGTGTATTCACATTGGAAAGGATTGTTCTTCCCCGGCCAGGGTGTTGGGCATTGCCAACATGTAAATGGGCTTGGGGAGGTCATGGGGAGGTGGAGACGCGCGACGGAGAGTACGCGAAGTTACGTGAAGCTAAATTGGGCGTGAGAATTACCCTTTTGGGCCTTGCCTAAATCGGAATCCTGACCTACGGCTTCCATAGCGCGAGTAAAATCAGACCATATATCAGGTTATTTTTTGTCTTTTTTTTTCAGAAAAACTAAGCTGATCATTTGGTCTGACTAGGGAGACTATTACTGCACCGAGAAGCGGGTAAAAAAAGCGGATGTGGTGCGTGGTGCACGATTGCCCTCCGTTCTTGACCACGCAGCAGCTTTGAAGCAATTGAATGGGGTTCGATTCCCCGCGTCCGCATGTAGTTTGAGCAACATTTTTCTCTCTCTTTCCGAACAGTTCTGGCCCTCTAACCATACTTTACACCACTCAATACTCAACTCTCAACCGACCGCGCAACAATATTCAGGGCTTTGACCAGCCGTGGGATCCATCACCCGCTTACAGCCGTTTGCATAACTCCGTGAAAACGTGTTTTTTTTTTTTTTTTTTTGCTCACGTGTTTTGGGCCGAGGTGCCCGGGGTTTCAAAATCCTTCATTTACAGTTCCTATGAAGTCCCTTATGCCTTGACTACACCCAAACAATATTTTCGAATGTCCTGTGCACAGCGATTATAGATGGTGGGACTTGCCGAATGTGCTGATCTAAAAACATTGATCTCCGTGTTCCCTAATGCCTGCCGACCACAAGGTATTCAAGAAGTCAATATGCAGCAACCATGTCTCTTGGTGTTCTGGCCCAGGCAGTTGTAGGTGCACAGGTATTGGGTAGTTTGCCGCCGATGCCGGGCCATGCCGAGTGTACACCGGATGCCGAATCTGCTGGTATGCACTGAAGCCTTTGCTAGACACAATTTACAAATCGATACTAAATAACATAGGACAACACTACTCTTTCGGCCATGTTCACAACATTTTGAAAGGAGTTGTTGTTTTATGTACACCCTTGATGCCGACAACGGCATGCACAACCCGGGAGCAAATCACATCAGATGCGGCGCGGTAAAAGTTTGTGTGCGCCTCACACTCTACAGGAATGAAATGTTCATGTCTAGAGAAAATTATAACTGTGGGGAGATGCCGAGGCGGGCCTACTCAACAGCTGCACATTACACGCCGGACAGAAAATAGTCCCGAAGCAAAGTCAAGGTACTATACCCAAATTATTCCACCCAGATAACCTCTGAGGGGACTCTGGTTGCGGGAGGAGCTGAAAATGAAGGATTTTGAAACCCCGGGCATCTCGGCCCAAAGCACGTGGGCAAAAAAAAAAAAAAGTGTTTTCACGGACTTATGCAAACGGCTGTAACGCCATCTCGATTGACTACATTATCTAATCCTCAACTCACCACAACAATGCCCGCGCCCTCCGAATTCCTCTGATGGGTTGACGCCCAGACCGACGCGTTCATCGCGCGCCTCGCGCACACCGTGTCCATCCCCTCCATCTCCGGCGATCCCGCTTACCGCCCCCGCGTCCAAGAGATGAGAAAGCGCTATCCCCCCACCCCGCGCGCGCAACTTTGATGGCCGTGATATACAGTCACGGCCAAAATATAGTCCCCATCCAAATCGGGTAATTCCCATCATTCTCATTTCTCTGTCAGCTCCCGTAGCAAATAGTACTACTTTTAGGGCACAGTTTTGTTCTAGGGCTCTAGCAAAGGCATCCAGTAAATTTTCAGAGCATTTGAACCAGAGAAACAGCTTCAAATAGTGCTTGATGTGGGACATCAAAACATACCGAAACCAGTGCAGATTCCAAACAAAAAAACTCATGGGATACCAATTTGGCCTTTCTTAAACATCTGACCATATTTGGCTCAAAATTAGTGCTAAAATAGCGTAGCCTGGGGTCAGAGAACCAGGTTTGATGGGAATTACCCGATTTGGATGGGGACTATATTTTGGCCGTGACTGTACATCTCCTGCGCTCCCACGTCTCGCTTAGGGACTTGGCCGCCAACCTCAGCAACCCCTGCCGCCTTCTGCATTGCCTTTGCACCCGTCAACGTTGGGATCATTAGGATCTCGTCAGTTTCTCACACCAAAGTAGTTTAAGCAGTAAAAGAAATTTAATTCCGCATGATTTGGTGCGCATACAGTGACGGCAAAAATATAGTCCCCACCCAAATCGGGTAGTTCCCATCATTCTCAATTCTCTGTCAGCTCCCATAGCAAATAGTACTACTTTTAGGGTGCAGCTTTGTTCTAGGGCTCTAGTAAAGGCATCCAGTAAATTCTCAGAGTATTTGAATCAGAGAAACAGCTTCAAATAGTGCTTGATGTGGGACATCAAAACACACCAAAACCAGTGCAGATCTCAAACAAAAAACTCAGGGATACTAATTTGGCCTTTTATAAGCACCTGGCCATATTTGGCCCAAAATTAGTGCTACAATAGCGTAGCCTAGGGTCAGAGACCCAGGTTTGATGGGAACTACCCGATTTGGGTGGGGACTATATTTTTGCCGTCACTGTACACATGAATTTGTACTGGTAAGAAAAATTCATAGCACCGTGCCACAGAGTATTTTGACACACAGGTGGGGGAGGTACTTTTAGTAACTCTCAGGACTTACAACAGAAGTTTTTTAATTTTTCTATAGGCCCCATGTTCTTTGGGCATTTGAACATCATGTCGGGGAAAATGATGGACACAGGGTAAAGAAATTGAGCCGACTAGAACTGAAAGGGGTGTGCTTCTTCCCCTTGACAGTGTCATCGTCTCCATCAGAGATAGATCCGGAGTCAACTACATCGAGTTCGGATCCATTCTTGGGGCGAAGGAGACAATGACTGTAAAATGGGCAAAAAATGGGGTGACCCGGCGGCGAACGACTGTGCGGAAGAAGTCGGGATGGGGTGGAAGGAATGCCTGCACTAGGTGTTTACAGAGAAGAAAGGCATTGTATTTTTGCTGGCCACAGCTGCATGTCCAGTTCACGAGATCGATAATGTAAACTTGATTTCCGAGAGGGCGTAGCGCTAGCATTTTCCAACACTTCTTGAATGCCTTGCGGAAGGGTGTGAGTGGTTTGGCACGACCAGGGCGGAAGTCAGACTCAAATATTTGCATCTTGGCTTCCGTGTAAGGCAGCACCTCGACGGCAATGAGGTAAATGAGCTGATCGAGGCGAGGATGGACAAAGTGATGGAGGGTTTCGTGCTTGAGGTTGCGCCAAAAATTCTCCACAGACATCGTGGTACGCCAGCGGCCGATAAAGTTCGGCTCAAAGAGCGTGCCCAGAGCCTGAACTTCATTGGGCAGTACCACGTGGTCCACATGTATGCCCAGACCTCACGCAGTCCTCATTGAAAGCAGAACTGATACATCTCCCACACCGCGTCATACCGGATTTTATCGGAGTCGCAAGTGCTGCCCGCACGGTCAGGAAGCAAGGGGTGCTCACAGAAATGGCGAATAAAGATGCGCAGAATCTGCTTTCGATGGGGGGCCGGACATGGTAGCATGTTCATATTTTCGGACAAACCAGCTTTAGTTCTTTGACAGTTACAGTGACTCAGTGCAGCCTCCCAATTCCATCTTCAAAGAAGAAGTACTCAGCTGTATTGTTGTGAAATAAGAATATCTGTTTGTGAAATTCTTGAGTTTCCTTCCAGACCTTTAAGTTTTCGACTCTTGCCGCCAACCGCCGCACCAGAGGAGTCACATCAAGGAGGAATCCGCCTCGGAAATCTTCTCAGCCAAGGACCTAGGTAAGGAATTATTACACATACCTTCCCACCCAGGTTGTGGAAATAGCTGGCACCCAAAGTCATTCAATGTTCAGCACAAGCGAGGAATCGGAGGATGAGAAACTTGAGAAAAACGCGCTAAGTTCAAAGTCCGTCGGATCAAGAAATAACGTGCCCGCGAAAGTTGGTTTGTTTTGATCCTGTCACAACACCAGCCAATAATATCTACCATGCACCTTGGCATGTGTCTTGCCATGTGGGTGCGGGTTCTTCGTCGATCGGTCCCTCGATCAAGGTCTTCTATTAACACCATGTGTCCTTGGTGTTTCTTCAATCGTAGGGCTTCTGTATTCCCATGATCGGTGTGTGCGTTGTATGGCAGGTGACAGCTGTCGGGCGGTACTGTCGGTGTACGGCCTTCTGTGTCCCGCTATGCTTCTAGTGAAGCGCTCCCGGAGTGCCACGCGTGACAGTCACTGCGGAATGTCCCGAGTGGACAATATGCGTCGCGTGAGACTGTGTTCCCGTTTAATCTACAATGGCGGTGCCATGTCCTAATAGGGATATCTTCTATTCCCATATTGAGTTCCTGTTGTTGTAGAACTCTTCGCCGTCTGAGGGGTCGTCCTCGTACATTGTATTCCCTCGGAAGTCCTGTGGCAACTCTGGCTCATCATCATCACTGCCGTTGCTGCCGTATTCCTCGCAGTACTTCCTTCGGTATTCTAAGCACCGTTCCCATCGCACGTTGTTCTCTGCGATGAGCCGTGCCTCGGCTTCTTCCTCCGTCTCGTCATCTTTGCTGTCTTCTTCTAACAGCCGTCGGAAGAGATTGTCTATCTCCTTCCGGTTCTTGCCTTTAACCGGTTCTGCCCGAGGGACTTCTTCCGGTAGCATGATATAGTTTAGGCGCCTGGGCGCTCCCAATATCTTAGACGCCTGTGGGCGTCTCAGCACTTCGACCTGTGCCTGTTCTGCTATCTCGCTATCACCCTTATCATTCTGGGCGTCTACGAGATCCTCGGCCTCAGGATCTATATCTTCTGTGATCCCTTGGTCGGCGGCTTGGTTCCCTTCAGCTTCTTCTTGGAGAACCTTCTGCTCGAGTTTGGCCAGTCTCTGCCTTAGCAGGTTGCCGGCTTCTACGTCTCCGGCTTGGTTGCCGAAGGTCATCTGTTCGAGAGTGTCGAGCCACTCCTGTAGCTGGGCTCGGCTTTGGCTCTCGGGTGTCAACTCGAGTTCCGTCATCTCCTCTTCCGAGACTTCGGAGTTGTCGCCTTCAGCTGACTCTTTGCCAAAGGTCTGTTCGTCTTGATCTTCGGGGATGCCAAAGATCTCGTTGTCGTAGTTCAGGTCCTTGAACTCGACTAGTTCCATACTCAAGCCATATCCCTTTTCGGGTATAGGCTCGGGCTCGGGGGTCTCTCCCCGTTCTGGCTCTGACTCAGGGGTCTCATCCGCCGTTATCTTATCTGTGTGCTCCTGTTTGGCAACAGTCTCAGAGGGCGTTGGAACGATAAGATTGGAATCAAATTGTGACAGTCTTATTGGTAAGTTAGCCCTAATTTATCGGCAAGCTTACTAGAAAGCTAAGAGAACT